TTTCATCTTTTCACGGTGTATAATTTACCTTTTCATCATTATAGTTACCTTGGGTGGAGTGTTTTTTCATGTCAGTGAACGTATCATTTYGTAAAGTACAATTTCTTTGTTTAACGGTTGTTTATTAGAAGACAAATGAACACTGTTACTAATCAAACAAAGAATATGATATTCTCAAGAAAATGACACATGAATGAAATAGTAAAGCATTACGCTCGTCGTTCTGTTGCATGAGTCATTAAGGTATGACATGTTGTCTCAGACTAAGAGGATCATAGTTAATGCACTGTAATGTGAAGTAAAATAGAGAAAAACTAAACTAGCTCAGAATGATGCAGTCAAAACGTCATTTTTTATAAACTGTAAACAAACTTTATAAGACCTACCACATCGCTGTAGGTACCAACTGGACAAGTGATAGGTGCTTTGCTTGGATCTGGACAAGCCTGCCCTGCAGTACACTGCTCACATGTTGATTTTCCCTGTTGTGAATAAGACCCAGGATTGCAAGGCACAGGGGGCTGAGATGCATTTTCACATTTGTAGCCAGCAGGACATGGAGCACATTGAGGCACCTAGTTAAATGTAAGACAAGAGAACATAGACACAAAATTTGGTGCTGAACCACATGATTCAAAACCCCTTGAGATATACATGAATATAAAAATAAATAAAACAGCCATCAGGTTATTTTTTCTAACAAGAGAAGTAAACAAGGAATGCTTTGTTATTGTCAACAAACATGTTGGCTATTTCATAACATGCAACCACGAATAGCAGCCCATACAGACCAAATGCAAATATTTAATTATCAAACAGGAGTAGAAAAAAGTATAATTTTACATTCTACTCTGAAGATTAAAGTATGTTTTCACTGATGAAATAAACAAATGTGGATGATTCTCTATGTAAATGACAATTTTTTTTCCAGGCTGGTTTGTGGTTTTTATCAAGCCTGTTCATTAGTTTTTTCTAAGAAAGTTAATTAAAATAAATATTAATTTAACTAATCTCTCACCTTTGCACCATTGTTCCAGTAATTTCCAGCTGCACAAGGCTGTGGGTCTTGACTTGGGTCATTACAGGTAAAACCAGCTGGACATGATGAGCAGAAAGATGCTCTTGCTTTGCTGAATGTACCTATCAAGACAAGCAGGTTAGATGTAGTTGATAGCATCTCATTTGATTGACTTGTTCCATACCAAGGTATGTAGAACGAGAAACAAAGCCATGACAACAACTATTTATAACATAAGTAAATATGTTGACAGGGTGTTGGTCAACATCATACCCACAAACAGTCTACTGACAATCTATCAACACTTTGCTGACAACATACCAACACCCTACTGACAATCTACCAACACCCTACTGACAACCTACCAACACCCTACTGACAACCTACCAACACCCTACTGACAACCTACCAACACCCTACTGACAACCTACCAACACCCTACTGACATCCTACCACCACCCTAGTACCGACATCCTACCACCACCCTACTGACAACCTACCAACACCNCACCCTACTGACAACCTACCAACACCCTACTGACATCCTACCACCACCCTAGTACCGACATCCTACCACCACCCTACTGACAACCTACCAACACCCTACTGACAATTACAAATCTTGGTCAATTATATTTTATACACACCTATAGGACAGGCTTTGCAGTGACCTTCACCAGGTGAACTGTAAGTGCCTGCTACACAATCCTTAGGTGTTATAGATGTTGACCCATTTAGGCATGTCTGCCCTGCAGGACACAACAGGCATCTGGAGGCCCCTCCAAGGCTATATGTACCATCAGGGCATTTCTAAATGTAGGAGATTTAAATATGTAATTAGAGATAAACGAAAAATGCTAGCTTTGATCAATTGAATTACACACAGCATTTAACGTAGTTATAAGATTTACGCCACTTGACATTGAGAAAAGAAATGCAGCTGCAATGCTTTCCACCAACCTTGCAAGTAGACTGTCCTGCTATACTATATTCTCCATTACCACAAGCAACAGGAGAAACTGCTGGGTTTAAACATGAGCTGCCTGCAGGGCAAACTTTACATGTTACAGATCCTACGGCATCAGAATAGGTACCACTTGGACATGGCTGTGGTTTGTTGGACTGGGAAGGACAGTAGTGACCAACATCACATGGTATGCAGTGAGTTGCGTTGCTGTAGGTTCCAGACTGAAATGAGGTGACAGTAATACTTGGTTAGTAGACATGTTTTAATGAACTGTAGTAACAGATTGTTTACTAAGTGAAAAGTTCATTGATGACCAGGATCAATAATCTTTATTGTCACCACCACCACCACTACCATCATCATCATCATTACCATCATATTCATTATCATCAGTACCATCACCACCATCATCATCATCACCGTTATCACCAACATCACCACCATCATCACCGTTATCACCCTAATCACCACCATCATCACCATGATCATCACTACCACCAGCACCAGCACCACCACCACTACCACATAATCATAATCATAACCATAATCATCATCATCATCACCATCATCTTCATTATTATCATTACCATCACCATTATCACCGTCATCATCACCACCATCATCATCATCAACATCAACATCACCAATACATCATCATCATCACCATCACCACCACCATCATCAACATCATCACCAATACCATCATCACCACCATCATCATCATCACCACTACCATCTTCTTCATTATCATCCACCATCATCACCATAAAATAATATTCACATGGGGATGCATTTTAATAATCATTAAAGATCTGCTCCATGCATATGTAGAAGTAAACTTAAATGGACTGCTATGATAACGTAACTCACCGTGCAAGGAACTGGAGCTTGCCTTGGGTCTAAGCATATTTTCCCTGAAGGACATGATAAACACTCTGGCGAGCCTGCAGGGGAATACTGTGGGAAAAAAAACATTGGTTAATAGTAGTGATAGCACCCAGATAGCATGAACTTAAGTGAGAAAAACTACATTTTTGAAGTTTTTTACTGGCATGTTTTGACAGTAACAACTGTCATCTTCAGAATGATTATACGAGCCAAAGTATTGAATATATGTTGTAATGTCGGTAATATGTATGAAGAACAAAAGGAAAACAATAATCAATAAAAAAGGTGTAAACTGGTATGCTTGTTTTGCTGGTTTTATAACCAAGATAGTAATTAAAATTAGATTATACAGTAGATCAATATTAAAAACTAATATAAGTTCCATAAAAGCCTGATCATGATATGTAAATAATATGTAAAATCAGAAGCCAGAAGTCTCTAATAATATCTTATTAATAATCTAGGTTAGCACATTACAATGTCTTTGGACAAATATGATTACTATAGCATTTTAGACAACCATAATACAGCATACCTGTCCATTTGAACAGACAATTGGTCCTGAGTCTCTATTTGGGCAGCGACTTCCAGCTGGACATTGAATACAGTTTTCTTGGGCACTAAGGATATTGTAGTAGCCCAAAGAACACTAAAATTGAAAATAAATGCATAAATAATTATGAGATATTTGACTTTCTGACAATTCACTAAACTGAAGTACTGTTAATAGGAAAATGAGAAGTTTGATAGAGACATACCTGGGTACAGGATGATGATCCCTTTATGTCAGAGAAGTAGCCTGCTGGACAAGGTTCTGGTGTGTTACTTGCAACAGCGCATTGGTAGCCTTAATGAAAGAGCAATGTAGATCATTAGCTTAGAATTTGCTGATGTGATGGAATAAACTGATCATTGAATCTTAGTCCCAAGACTTGTTCCAAGGAGGCCCATTTAACCATTACCTAGTTTAAGCTGCTATTAATATTGTTAAATAAGAAATATATATTTTAAAGTAAAAACATGGCTATTCAAAAAATCAGGAGGTGGATTGTGCAAAACAAATCTAATGATAAAATAAATAAATATTAATATATATATATAAATAATAAATGAATATATAATATATAAAAATAATAAATTAATAAATGAATAAATGAATAAATGAATAAATGAATAAATGAATAAATGAATAAAAATAACTAAATGAAAAATAGATAATTGATTGTACCTCTTTCACAAGGAATACAGGCTGACATTTCAGTCTTGTTGGCATAGTAACCTCTTGGGCATGGAATCTGCTTTGCTGTAATCTCCAAGGGACAATAATAGCCACGACTGCAAGAGTCACATGATATTTTCCCACTGGCAGCATGTTTTCCAATACCACAGCGAACTGGATCCAATGTTTTATTTGAACAACTATAAACATTAAGTAACTGGCTTTCAATAAATCTGCTTTTGATTTTAATCTACTTAATTTCTTCATTTTATCATATAATTATCCATAAAATATCTATATTTATCCTTTTCGAAAAACTGATATTTTCACATGTGAAAATATCGTTCAATCTGTGTATCTAAGCTATTAGTTTATAAATAAAAACTTTTTATAATAATAAAAGCTTATTTAGTTGATTTTATGGATAATTATAAAATAAACAGAATATGACATGGGCGCGCGGATATACGAAATTTATCTTCTCGTGTTGAAAATCTCTCACTCGTTTGCTGCGCTCACTCGTCAGAGATCTTTTCAACACTCGAAGATTAATTTCGTATCTCCACGCGCCCATGTCATATCCTCTATTTATTACATTTGACAAGGATAAGCATAACATAACGAATTAAACAGCAACAGAAATGAGAGGCAGTTCTATCACAACAGTGTAACCAATTACTGAAGGCCGAGAGATATAAAAAAATCCAAAATATAACAGAAAGACATTGAAGATCAAGAATTCAAACTAGAAGCAACACATGGAGTGAATTAAACTTTACAGTGTATTTCATTTGCAGTCAGATAGTCTTGATGATTTTGCGTTGTATGGATCATAGTACCTCGCTTTTAAAGTATGGCTAGTAATACTTGGTAATACAGATTCAATTAAGTACAAGGTATCACAGTTTTTAAGATCTGTTACAGTACAGAAAGAGAATTCAAGATATGTGTATGTGAATTGTACATGTATTATTCAATTTTATATGAAAATGAAGCTGATGTTACCTGTGACCCTCAGGGCAGAGTATACACTCAGTAGCCCCTCCTTTACTGTAATACCCATCGGCACATGGTACAGGTGATTGTGTGGCATCAATACATTTACTACCAGCAGGACATGGATCACATGATGTTTGATTCTTTGATAATGCAGTGGTACCATTAACACATGGGATGTGTTGTGACAGTTTTGATGTTGGGCAGTATGAGCCTATTGGACAAGACTGACATGCC